CTCTCTCTCTCTCTCTCTCTCTCAGCGCCAGGTACTAACCTATGAAAGGTGGCGCTTTGCTGCAGGTACCTTGAAGACGAAGCTGGAGCGATGGCGTCACAGGTAAGTCTCCCTGGCCTCCGCCACTCTCCTCTCTCTCTAACGCTACTCTGAGCGCCCAGCACTGAAGACTACTCCTATCTTCTACTACTGCAGCGCTCTGCCGAGTGCTGCTGCCGAGTGCCCGAAGGCTGCCTCCTGAACTGTCTGTGCCCTCCTGGGAGGACCAGTAATATAGTGCTGGTCCGGTTGGGAGGCTTCTCTTGCCAATGCCGAAACGTGCCAGACTTGTTCCGCCTGGTCGGGCCCTGCAGGCCCGTGTGGTGCGCAGTATGCCACACACGGCCTTACTCGTCAGACCCAGGGGGGAGGGATGACGAGGTGGTCAAAGGAGAACGGCGACAACAAGTGTTAGTACCAAGAAGAATGGGAGGAGGGAGAGGACTGGAAAAGGGAGGAAAAAGAAATGAGGCAAGTAGTTGGGATAGTGGAAACCAGGCGACGGGAGAAGGGTAGGAGACGAGGGTGTGGAAAAATCTTCTCTTCTTACCTCTCATTATTGACTTCGGCAATATAAACCTCAATATTAATTATTCTTAATAATTTTCTTCAGCGCAGGACGCCATCATCCATAGAGCAAACTTGTGTCTGCTCTAAATCCAATTTATCATTACGACATTGAATTTCACGCCCCTTTTCGAATTACAATTTCCCAAATATTTCCCTTGCTAATTTTTTTGTAGAGTCATTCTGACATCACCACCACCATCATCACCACCATCGGCCTACAAAGCGTTATTTTAGTATTCTTCATCACTATTATCTAACTAGTTGATTTCTCCTCACTGTTTTTTGAGTCAGATTTGGGGAGAAGGTAAGTTGATTAAAGGTGGGGCGAGCTCTACTCTACAAAGGAAGCACAAGGAGGGAGGTGCTAACCTTCGAGGGAGTACAGGTAGACAAGGGGGAGTGTTCTAGTTTGGGGTTGGGGAAGATCCCAGCGGTGGCAGATTAGGGCACAGGTAGCTTGAGAGTAATCAGTGGGGGGAACTGATTACTCAAGGGAGTAAAGGAAGAGGAGATGGCTTTCTCTAAGTTGGGGCTGAGGGAATTAAACTGGTTGCAGATCGATTCCGCTCAGCGGGGGCAGCACAGAGAAAGGAGGAGAGGAAGAGGGGGAAAGAGGCAGGGGAGGAGAGGGGAAGTTGAATCTACATCAAGGGTCATCATCATCAATAACAGCAGCAGCATCTACATCGTTAGTTTTTTTTTTAATTTCCTCTGATTGCGTTTCATTAGAATATGAGAGAAAGTAAGTGGGTAAGGTGGGGGGAAACTGAAACTCTATACGGGCATCGCAAGGTGGGAAGTGATGCTCTGTTAGGAGTGGAAGTAGATGGGGGATTGCGCTAATCTAGGGCTGATAATCCTGCGGTGGCAGATTAGGGCAACATCTTGATTAGTTCATTCTTTGAGGGGAATGGTAGGACCTAATGGTGAGTACGGCTGTAAGTGGGACTGCCCCAGGTTGGGGCTGAAAAACGAGGCGGTTCATTTCAGCGGAGGCAACAAGGGGCGAGAAGGAACAATGGGGGGGAAGAGGAATATAATCCATATCTACTTAAGTCAATCATTATCATCACCACCCTCATCAGATCGTCATCTGCTGGGGACTCAACTAGATCAAATCCTTTATTTGTAGGTATTATTATCAATTTTGCTGATTGTCAGATTGAGTCGTGAATGTGCACTTGCCTAGGTCGAGTTGATGCCAGAACGATGCTGACCGTGCTGGGGCATCGCCCCGCAACCTAAACTACTAGGAGCTTGAGGTCTTGTAGAGAGATCTGGGGATTGCTGAGGGAGGAAGGCAGTCCACTAATTTGACCGACGGTAACAATCCTGCCGACGATGGTCGGAGCTGGGGCGGGTAGCGCTGCCCTGTAACTTAGCTAAATAGAGGGTGTGAGACTGGGTAGAGGTGGGATTGGTACACAGCACAGCATCAGATGAGAATTGCTGGAATTGGTAGAAATACCTGGAATTAGGATAGGGTTCCATGTTGAAGTTCTGAGTAGAGAACATTCTGATTAGCCTTCCTGATCACTCTTCCTTATTGGCTAGTAGTAAGAGTGCGACTGGTCAGACATCGTGATTCTGATTAGCAGAAAATCATCAGTTTTAGCATCATCATCATCATCCTCATCATCATATGTTGGTTACTCCGGGTAGACTGTGAGGACCCCGGCCTCAACGTTCTCAAATATTAATACAAGCCTTGGGCACTGGGCCCTTTTCTATAAAAAAATAAAATAAAAATAAAAAATGTAGCTGAGTAGGGACCATATGTGCTTGTCTTTTCCTTTCAGTACCTCAGAGCTAGGATTGGGATGCATAGTCTGGTTCTCTTTCTCCCCGAGTAAAGGCTCCTTCCCTTTGAGAAGAGGTTAGGGTTGCCAGTCAACCTGGGGGAATGCGTACCCAGTGGGACCCTAACCCAGTGAGAGAGGAACTTGCTTGCTGAGCACTCTGACTTGCTGGAAGGCAGAGACACCCTAGGGTGGGACAATCACTTTCAAGTTGATCTTGACTGTGTTCTTCTGCAAATCCTGACAGGCTTGGCGCTTGGCTCCAGACGGTCTTACTCCCTTGAATCTCACGCCAGCCAGCATCCAGTGCGTGTGCGCTTGAGCGTGCAGTCCAGCAGTGCTCACGCCAGCCAGCCAATGGCAAGAATGAGGAAGTGGCTGACTGCACTTCCTTTTGTGCAGATACTGGATGGTCGTGCCAGCTTCACGACTGCGTGGCCTCTGTCCCAGTAGCTGCACCCCTGGGCCCTTCCAGATCATGCCTTGAGCGCAACTGTAAGGGTCCAGGGCCTCAGCATGCCCGGCCCCAACGTCTGTAACCGATTGGGCCTACCGGTCGGTTGCAGATGCTGTAAGCAGCAACCAACCCACGGGCACAACCAACCTAATGCAGGCCTCATTTCCGGAGGCCGCATCCAATTTCAGGGCCCACCTTCACTTAGGGCGGACACAGGAAGTTACAGACGGGCTCAGGCCCTTGGCAGCGGGCGCGGGCCCCAGTTTCATCCAGAACGAGCGCCTTATGCCTTGCAGAGTAAGCCCCAACAGCAAATTTGAACACTTTTGGCTAACAGGCTAGTATCAGCAAACTTTGTTGAAGGGTTCAAGTGGAGAGTTTTGCGCAAGAGCAATGCATTTCACAATAGCTTTATCATTCACAAACACCAAGAATACAGTGTACCAAATGCAGGAAAATAACACACAAATTTGAAGTGGGCAGTGCCAGCAAGACCCTTCAGTTTGTTGGCTACAAACGTGAGAAAATACCTCCTCTTGCATCAGTGGGCCATTCTGTCTGCTGCAGAACTGAAGAACTTGCTGACCTTCCTCTCGCCGCTCAGCTGTGCCTCTCCCCTGTGGATGAAATTGGACAACATAGCCAAAGGACAGCCGGTTTGCCATTGTCACTACTAGACGATGAAAACTTCCGCCTGCCTTGTGAAGAGATTCCAGATCATAGGTGAACTTCCATATAGTAGTGGCATACTTTGGCAAATGCAAGTGTTATCCTGAAGGCTGCGCATGCACAGCCAGCGGCTTGTTTGGGTGCTGATGCTCCTGACTCTGCTGCTCTTGGACTACAGCCGGAACCTGCATATGTCCAATCATCTATCATGCCATCACTGTACATAGCCAGAACTTAACAACACTTGACTCTCTAATGCAATAAGCGACAATTATAGGAACAGAACGGCGGGCAGATTAGGTCCTTGCAAGCTTTCTTTCACTCTTGAAGTGCGAAGCAAACGTTTGACAGGTACAACATCTCAGTGTGCTGTGCAACCCCTAGCTTATATTATCGAGTCTCATCAATTGTCTTCACACGTCACGGGTCAACTATAACTTGATTTTTCTGGGGGATTCCAGCATATCCTACTGGGTTCTTCACATATAAAAGATGTCCGGGGGACGCACCTGGCCAACCAAACGAGAAAGAAGAGTGTCATCTTCTTCTCCAGCCGTGGGGCCCAGTGGCAGCCGCATGCCCTTCCTAGAAGGTCCACTGGAGGATCCTCCCAGAGACGATCTGCGGCGTCCTCTCCCTCGTGAGCCACCAAACTTTCCTGGTGAACTGATCCCAACTGCTCTTCCTGCCTCTCGGTCTCTGTTCTCTTCATCATCAATCACCCCTAGTCCTGAGCCCTCAGTAGTAGCATCCACTGACCCATCTGTCATATCCTGTCGAATTATCCTCCAATCACTTTCATCCATGCTCTTCTCACCAACGCGGTCCATGCATGGAGAGGTTGCACCATTCCGTATGCCTCTGTATGGTGAAAATGCACTCCTTTCCAATCCTTTGTCACCTCCGCCACCACTCCCTCTTCTTCTTTCCAACAACTGGTCAACCCCATAGACACCGTTCCTTTCTCCCTCCAGTACTGCAACTGTTGACAACTCGCCTGAGCATCGCCTACTTTCACTTCCCCCCAAGCTCTTCCTTGATCTCACAGTTACATCCACATTCATTGTACTACAGGCTGTTGACACACTTCCGACACTGTTAAGGCTACTTTCACCTGTAAGCCCCCTGCCTCGCAAACCTCCCCCTCTAGTGTCTATGTCCTTTGCCAAGTCTGCTGCAAACATTGCACCCTCAACTGCTCCCAAGCTTCCGCTTCTCCTCCTCCTCCTTTCTGCCATGCAAGGACTCCGCGGACTTTTTGGGCTCTGATATCCCATCCCAGCCATTGTTCCCAAGATGTCTAGGGCATTGTTCCCGTTGCCACCTGCTCTGACTGCTGCTATAGCAGCTGCATCTGTAGCTGATTCCATGGGATGTGCGTCGATCAGAGACCTGATCCGACCTTGACGTTGCTTTCCAGACTGGAACAGAAGTAAATCTGCCTCCACTGCAGGTGCATACTGCTTCAACACCTTCCTCAGCTGACTCTGTTCACACAGCATCAATTTTCACCGCCAATTCAAATACATATGAGGCATTGCAAGCGAAAACATCAGAGCATGAGCAAAGATACGTCATATCAGCAAGCTTGAGGCAGCTTTCCCTTGTCATTCCAGATGCTCAGAGCTGGTCGTGAAAAGAATCGGTCGACCTCATCACCTGATTGCAAGAATGCCCATACTCTGCAGCCGAATCTCTCTCTCTCTCTCTCTCTCTCTCTCTCTCTCTCTCTCTCTCTCTCTCTCTCTCTCTCTCTCTCTCTCTCTCTCTCTCTCTCTCTCTCCTCTTCCCTCGCCTGCTCATCATGGACACCCACATTCTCCACCACAGAAACAATTGCTCTATCTCCATCTCACACACACACACACACACACACACACACACACACACACATGCGTGCACAGACACTCATGTCTCTCAGCCTCTCAAACTGGCAGACATTCTCACAAATACTCCTAGATAATTCCCTTTCCTGGGTATGTGTGCACACATTTAGATACCTCCCCCAGTTGCGGCAGCGGGATTTGAAACCTGCAACCTGCCCCAAACTGGTCTTGAAATTTTTAGTCTTTTGCTGTTTGCTGCTGCCCGGATGCGAACCTGAGACCTGTAGGTAGAGTTCCTGTAGCCAAGGTTAGAGCGGCCCTAACAGGCCAGTGGATTTCAAATTTTCCAGAAGGCCGACCCTGTAGGCCTAGGTTCAAAAGCAGCGTCATAAAAGTGACGAGCTGGGCCATGGAACAAACTACTTTTTTTTTTTTTTAAGAAAACACCCGCGCCTTCTATTCTGGGGGGCGCCAGTCCGGTTGCTTATCACCGGCAAAGTTGGCAAACAAATTTTCAGTTGGCAAGTTTGTTTGAGTGGGATGGGGGGAGGGGGAGGGAAGCAGTGTCGTCTTGGAGATTGGGTGGAGCCGTAGGCCCATATCCAGTCAGTTCTGGCAGTATACAGCATCATTTTCAATTTCGTTTGGTGCTGTGTAATCAGGCTACCCGGGTGCCCCTATGTGATCACAAAGTTCTGTGTTATACGAACTTAACTGCAAAGCAAGAGCGTATTTGTGGTCGGGACACCCCAGCAAAGAGAACTGTATACCAAAGATAGCCTGGCATTACATCACAAGGAAACCAGACAGAGGAGGCCTTATCATAGAACCCAAACAGGAAACCAAAGCCTTACAAGTTAAATGGATAGTCAAACTACTGACTAAACCTGGTACGGCATGGAATAAACTGGCCTTGGATAGCATCAGGGGCCTAGCACCGACAGCCTCACCAGTACGGATATGGTGGGAAGTCATGCCGAAGAAGGTGGGTACACCCAAATCCAAAGATGAGATATTGAGGCAACCCCTGTTTGGTAATCCGTGAGTGGGAGACAAAAGTGGTCACCAACTATCCCTTACAAGGGTACCTGATGCGGCTTCGCTCGCAATAAAATGAAGGGCAGAAAGCAAAAACGTGAAACGGGTGATTTGGGGCGGCGGGATTTGGCTCACCTGTGTACTGCTGTTGACTCAGTCGATGCATTGCTGCTGGAGGTCAGAAAGCCTTGGAAAAACTGTGTTTTCTTGCTGGTTTATTTTAGCTTTCCAAATTTGCATGGGAGTTACCTC